CTGGACTTAGTTGGTGGCTTGCGGCTCAGGGTTTCAGGAACGCGGGGCTTCGGGGTTAGGGCTTTTAGGGCTTTAGGCGTTTAGGGTTTAGGGGTTTAGGGGTTTAGGGTTTAGGGGTTTAGGGCTTCAGGAGTGTTTAGGGCTTAGGACTTGCTCCTTCAAGGAGCCATTGCGAGCGAAAAGTGTATGACTTCCAAGCCCAGGTGTTCTGGGATCCCACCTGGGTGACGAGATTGTGATCTGGCTGCGTAGGGGTGTGGGTTTGGGGTTCCGGGTTTCGGGCTTCGGGTTTAAATCTTCACAGTTTGGGGGTTGAGGGTTTCAGGGTTTAGAGTTCGGGATTCAGGCTTTCATACACAGCATGTCGCTTTGCCGGGGCCGTAAAAAGATGCAAGGTGGTGCGTCTTCGAAATAGCTGCCTTTCTACACAGCCGCACGAAAGGCCGCAAGGCAGTTCTGAAGATTATTCCTCCCTTACTTGGTCCAGCGCTCCTCGGCGGTGAGATCTTATTTTTCCTAGCATGTATTGCGTACGCTTACAGCGAAATCGCTCTGGCATCGTCGGAAGATTCCAAGTTTTCGGCGGCAATCCATCTTGTTTTCTTTGGAGTCCTTGGCATTCCATGTTCATTCTTCGTTTCGCACTCCCTTCGAGGGTATGCACGCAGCGTTGAGACGCTGAAAGAGCAACTCTGCGAGTTCAAGGCTGCAGGCACGAGGAGTGCTTGCTGCGAACAAGGCCATGAAGGTGAAGCTGTTGTTCTGTGTGATCGTGAGATTCTTCTCCAGTGCATCGCCCATTGGTATGGCTCGGTTGACCAGTTTGAATCACAAGTACAATCTGAAGTGCGGACGGCCCTCGCCGATCAGCTTGCAGACAATGCGATCTCTTACGAACGCATCTTATTGCTTTTCACACCCTATGTCTGGCTCCGCTTTGAGTATGCAGCCACCCACGCAAACGATCCCATCCGGCAGATAGTCGAAGTCGCTCGTACGCTCACATACTGGCTGGCGGTGTTTCCCTTCATGAACAAGCTTCTTTTCCGCTTGTGCTACCGCTTTCGAGCCCAATGTTGCATGCCGTGCTGGGACGTTCTTCTTTCGATGCTCATCGTGGTTGCAACGTTCTTGTTCTACTTCATCTGCTACACCATCCAAGTCTATGTCTTTCGGCAAAACGAGCATGAGCTTGTGCCAAGCGTGATCTCAGCGGTTTCATGGCTGACGTTTACAGCCATCATGTGGCGAATCACATGATCAAGATGCCGACACGCTGAATCTTCCCGATGCAAGCGGCAGCACTGGAAATAGCTGACGACCACGACAAAACATAATATAACAAATGAAATAACACCCTTGGCAAGAGTGGGCACATATATGATGTATATGTACTAGAGTAAAGGCAGGAATGGGTCTAGCACTAGAGGGTGACAGCGGTGATGCTAGTCGCAATTCCCACCACTGTTAGTTGACCACAATCAGGTGTCGTCGCCATCATGACCGTCATCATCACCATCATCATCATCAGCATCATGATCACGATACTCGCACTCATCATAACCCGAAGGCAGCAGTCGGTGGTAAAGCCGTCGTTGATGTTCCCGGATGCTGGCCCGCTGGAAGCAAAGTCTTAGGTCAACTCAACAGCCCTCCGGCCTCAAGCCTATTCGGGGCTCAGATCTCTCAAGACCTCCTCGAATCACTCCAAGCCCCAAGAGTCCGGAGCTTGACTAAACAAAAGGACCCCCTAAAGCCTTTATAAGCCCTGAAGCCTCCAAACGCTCTAAGCCCCCACGCCCCCTGGATGGGTTGAGCTCCAAGCCCCTTCTTGGGGTTTTAGGGTTTAGGGGTT